ATCCCACCCCTTCCCATACCGGATCTACTGAAACAACAAAAATCGATCTTGTATTCATACAAGTGATACAATAAACAGGTTTGTGTACAATGAAACAATATTTAACCTTTACACGAAGTTGAAACGGCAACTTTCTGATCCCAAGTTGGCTGCACCACAGCTGCCCTACATACCTTGTAAAAAAAAGATTAAATAAAGGAATAAATGCAAATAAATTTTTAMTCCAACTAAACAGAGAAAATGCTGTGAAGCGTAAGTTTATTTTAACAGAACAATACAATACAGTTCTACTTAGATGCTGCTTTTGCATTAAAAAAAATCTCATCAGCAGTAATTTCCCGCTTTTTTAAACTTTATTTTGTACTTTAAGCTATAACCATGTAGCTATGTAGGCCTATAAATCWGTCATAAATTACCTTTCTGAACTCCTCTCTCTTCATTTTTTATCTTGCAGGAATCTCTTTGTGTCCTGATTATTAATAACAACAATGTTGACGATATCAGAGCCCTGTCTGTGCTGAAGGAACTCCAACATTTTTCTGCCAAGGATAATAAGTTGCACAGCATTGAGGTAAGTATGAAATTATTTTGGTTTTAATTTGAAAAACATCGTTGGTGCTCGAGCATCGAAGCAGCCACACGCCGTGAGGCGGGCAGTAACTACCACCACGTCGAGCACATTCTGCACGACACGACACATTAAAATCAACACGCCGTCCGTTAGCCGATGAGGTCAACGTTAGCTTTCTGCAGCGATGTGTGAAATGATATGGAGAACAGGACCGAAAAGAACTAAATCCTGCAAATCCTGCCAGAGGTTCCCAGGTCTCCCCGACTCGTGAAGGGTCAGAATTATTCAACAAATCAGCGAGCCGCTCCCCTGGGACTTTTCTCACTGACAGCTTTAAACAAGCACAAGTTTCTCCGTTTCCTTCGAAGGCAGTTTTTTCCCYCGTCTTTGCCTCAGAATCCTCTGTTTGATATCCTAAACCAACAGCATATCACCTAATGGAAAATTTGTCTGATGCAAGATTAATGTGAAGGCCTTGGTTTAATCTATGAATTAAAGAGGTTAAAATATATTTAATGGGCATAATCCTGATAGTGCTTTAAAGTACTTTTTAACTGACTTTTTCTGCAGCTTCCTCTTTGACAGACAATCGTAATTCCCAAAAAAGATGTTTTGTAAAATGTAAATAAAGATGGAAGGCAACAAGGTTGGGATGTCAGTATAGTGGTATAGTAGATGTGATCTGGATGTCACCGCTTGGGCTCAGGAACACTTCCACAAATTATTGTGTTCATGGTGCCATTCAAAGCTCTAACAGGCAAAGAAGAAGCTTTAGGTGAACACCATCCAGGGATGGGCTGTGTTTAAATTCAGGGGCTGAGTCCTTCAAAGGACCCGGCCTACCCGGTCTAGGTGGGCCGGGTCCTTGGTAGACTGCAAAGACCGGAAAAAAATGGCTGAGAATTTGGACGGTCTAGTCTTCTGCTTTAATCCCGCCCTCACGCCGACGTATGTCCTGTCACCTAGCCATCATGGCAACGCTAAACAGAAGCAAAAATAGATAGAAATTAGAAAAATATTAATATATTAGTATTATAAATATCATAAAACAACAAATTAGCTTAAAGGCAAAATTTGAAGGACTAATAGGCTCGACACACGGGGAGCGACAAATTACAGCGATTAACGGCTGTCATCGCAGCCAGGGTGAAAAAGTAAGGGGTCTCTGCAGTAGGTTTTGTCCTGTGGGCGGAGACGTCCCTGCTCGTGATTGGCGGAGGTCTTGATGTGGGCGGAGACGGCCCGAGACGTGATTGGTCGGATTGACGGTGGGGTTTGAGGAGGCTGGAAGCAGCGGGGAGTAGCTTGATCGAGTCGGGCAGGAAGCAACATGTTTTTTAAGATTAATTTTAGTCATAGCTTGAGAAAGGAAAGCGCTAGCTACACAAAATTTTGACGTCGTACATGTGAAAAGATGTGTAACAATATGGCTTGGTTAAAACATCCCTAACCAGCCTGTAAAAAGATCGCTAAAAATCAATATTTTGATAATAAATTTGGACAGCCTCTGGCGCAGCGTCGTGCTGTTTTTAATTTAAAATGTTTCGAGACAAAGTGGAAATCTGTCCTCTGGTCAGGTGAATTAAAAACGGCAATTTGTTTTGGAAACCACAGACACCAAGTCCTGCGTATTAAAGAGGCGAGGGACCATCCAGCCTATTATACGCACACTGCTCAAAAGCCTGCTTCTCTGATGGTATGGAGGTGCATGAGCAGCTTACAAATCTGAAAAGGCATAAATATTTAGAGCAACATCCTGCAAAATAAAAAAAGTTGCAGCAAAGATGCAGGACTGTAGAACAGCTGGATACATCAGACAAGAATGGGACAATATTTCTCTAACACCTCCAGCAGCTGATCACTTTTAAATATTAGTTAAATATTATCATTATATTTTTCCTAAAATGGTAAAAATTCTTAACTACGTCTGATTTATGTACTAAGTTCCATATTAAAATATGGATTTATGAGATTTGTACACATTTTTTGTGACTGTTGATTGAGGTAATTGCCGTACATGTGTCACTTCTAGCAAGTATTTCCTATAATTTATACAAGTCGTCTGCCACYATTGATTCTGCAAAGACAGCTCTCTGCAGGATCGATTTCTTAGTTGCACCATTTGGTGAAATATCCTGCAGAAACATTATGGATTTTTTTAAAACAGATTATGACAGGCAGTCAGCCGGGGTGACAAATGGGGGAAGCATCTTCGGAGGCTGTTAGCTGAGCGCGGGGCAGAGAGGACGGAGGAATCGAAGCTTTGGTCAAACTCGAGCTCATAACCGCCTCGTCATTAGTTCAGTCCAGAGAGAACCGGTTGAGCGTAGTGAGTATCCAGCCTCCGCTTGCTCTCCGCGACCCCCCGCGTGTAGGTGGGGGGGCAATTTGGCGCAGAGCTCCTCTTCAGTGAGGGCCTTCTGAGTGACGGCCTTGACACGATCATTTATCAAAGCCTGGGAGCGCGTGGTGCTCAGGGGTCCCCTCTGAACTGATTGCAGCTCGGCCTGGAAAAGTGGAAGCGCTTTGGCCAAGACAGGAAGGCAATGAACAATCAGAGCGTGTCCAGAGAGTATTCATATTTCCAGGCTTGGATTAATGTGCCTTTAGATAAACATACAACTGCAGGCAACTTGCTGGAGGAGCCAGCCTCGCGCTGCCCCCAGGAGAAAACTTATAGTCACACGACACCGGCGACACTCCTGATTAAAACAGACTGATGTGTTGTTTTTGCACATTCTGTTGGACCTTGCACTTCACTTTAACCTTCACTTCTACCKTGTCTTTGAAGGGGCTATCTCGTGTTTGTCTTTTATTATCACAAATGTGCCCCCTTTTGTTCCCGTTCAGTCGCTGGGAACTCCTGTTTGAAGCGGTAAAACACACCCCRGTGAAGCTGATGTTTCTGTGCTCTGCGTGTTCGCAGGAGTTGGAGGACGTGCTCAGCCTCTGGCCTCAGCTGCTCCACTTGGATCTGAGTGGAAATCCTGCGTGTAAACAACCAAAGTACCGAGACAGACTTATTACAGCRTGCACGAGACTCGGTAACATTTCATTACTGTAAATCATTATTATTATTTTTTGGGGGTAAAGATAAAAAAAGAAATGCAAACACAATCATTTTTTGTCTGTTTTTAAAATGAATATTTATTTAGAGGTTCTTGATGGAAAGGAAATTAATGAGTTAACCAGACAGTTTCTTATTAACTGGAAAACATCAAAAGAAGCCAGGAAGAAAAAAAMCAACAATCGGATGTTGCCTGGATCATTGGTTCCTTATTTTTTTACAAGTAAGTGATCAGATTATTGTTTATAGTCACGTTACAATTTACCAACTCCCTTTTGTTTTGTTTAAAGGCTTAAGTACTTTTATTGCCTTAAAATTAAAAATCATCTTTTCGTGCTATTAATAAAAAAACAGAAAAGGTTGCATAATGCGCTGCTTTTTCTTCTTTAAAGAAGTTTCTAATATTGGGTTTCTTCTGTGTATCTGACTTTGTTTGTGTTCCAGATGACTTGAACGGGGGTCAGAATCCACATCCTGGTCCCATCCAGAGCTCCACTAAGCGTGCCGAGGGGGGAGCCACAGCCATGTGTCAGTACCGCACCTCACTCAAGTCTACCCCGACCTTCTTTAATTATTAAAAACCGGACTTAAAAACAAAACGATGCCGTGTGGAAACATTCACACAAAGAATTTATATGCGGTGTWATAAATTTTGAAAGGGTTATAGATCCTTCAGATCCTGTAATTATCAACAAATTTAGGAAGTGAATAAACATTAACTAGCCTCATATCAATTTGTTTTATTTCCATTTCTTTTCTTTTTTTTGTCAACTTCTATAACATCTCTTTTATTCAGGAATTTTATCTAGAAATAAAAATAAATACACCTTAGCATTATTTCTTAATAATTATTAGGGATCGGCATTTTAACAAAAACACTCAAATTTGTCAAAATTATTATTATTATAATTAAATTYGGCCATCCCTCAATAAAAACTAATGTTTTTTGCTCACGCTTGTTTTTCAGAAATTAAATGTTAATGGATCTCATCAGCCATTAAAAATTAAAAATTGTCTTTGTCATGATTTCATTTTAACAAGTTTCTAAAAATAACCTGAGTATAAAACTTTAAAAATCACTTCTCCCTCTTACTTAAAGCTGCTTTAGCTCTGATTAAATCGATTGTTTCTGCAGACATAAATCATTTGCGCAGCTCAAAATGTTTCTTGCAAGGAGCTGTAATATTTTACGAGTTTTTTCTTCAGAATTCATTTGGGTAAATAAGTGAAGCGTTAGATGCAGAGTGGCACAAACTAAATGATCGTGTTGCCCTTTTATTACAAGTCTTTACATTATCCAAAGCTAACAGCACGCGCTCCTATTCAAACAACTGTGATGAATGACTCGGCAGGAACAAAACATTTGTTATCTGCAATTGTTTCAAAGTGTCTGAATGGGATTTCAGGAGCCACATGGATGTGTGTAACCCCTGAAAGATGCAGGATAATTAAGGGAACAAGCTTACTTAACCTTCTTTAACTTCACTTTTTAATTACAGTGGCCCCGAGCGAAAGTGTTACCCCATCCTTACAAAAACAATGTTTACCGAGAGCAGTCTGAGAATATACATAATATGAATAATTCCTTTCATTAATTCGCCGACATCTCTGTCTGGAGCCCTGGAAATCAGAATGATTAATTTAGGAAGTCTCAGAAAAAAATGTCCTGAACGCCTGCCTGTTGATTGCAGTGCCCGGGTTTATTTATTAGCTGCTCCAATGAGCTGGCAGCTCCTCAAAAAATGTTTTGCGTCTCGTCTTTCACGTGCCCGTTTGTTTTCAACAACTGCTGCAAACGGATCTCTCTCTCTCACTCTCTCTCTCTTTTTATCTGTTTGCCTTGTGTGTTTGTCTGTTAGCAAAATATCTCATGAACATCTGGATAGATTTGAACAAAACTCTCAGAAATCAATCATGGGATGATCATCTAAAGCAGTGGTTCCCAAACTTTTTATCTTCTGACCCACAAAATATTCATGGCAAAAACTTGTGACCCCAAATATTACTGGTCTGAGTACACRAACTTTGTTAATAACCCTAAAAACACAGGCTTTTTGACAATCTAAACAGCTTATAAATATCGTACTTATTCATACTTTTTTGTGTTTTTGTAATAGTTACAGGGGAAATATTACATCAGCAATTATTTTATTACCCTTTAAACTGATTTCTGGAGATTATCCAAGGTGCTTCATGACCCATAATTGGGTCCCAAGCCCAACTTTGGGAACCAAAGTGCACTGGTTCACAAACTTTTCAGCTTTTGACCCACAAAATAACAGTAGCAGAGACCTGTGCCTACAGCTATTTTTGGATGATAAACATTTGTATCAGGTCAACTAAACATGGGCATAGTAACAATATTTTTATACTACATTTATCCATTTTAAATACACTAACCTCACTCMTTTGTAACAACTAAACTATAAATGTAATTAATTCAGAAAATCTTTTCAGGACCCCACCTTGATGTTTCGGGACCCCACTTTGGGTCCCGACCCCAACTTTGGGAAACACTGATCTAAAGCTCATTAACTTTTGGAGTCAGTCAGATTCAAGGTGACCAGCACTGATCTAAAAAAAATGATGACAACTCATTTAGTTTTAAAGATATTCACATTTGGTGTGGTAGTAGCTGAGACTGATCCCTCAACACACTCTGAGTGCCAACTGCACAAGATCTTTATTTAAAATTGTTGCCATTAACTATTCGGAATCAGCTCTGTTTTGTCTGTTAGCAAAATATCTCATAAAGAGATTTTATTGACACTTTCAGGAGATATTCATTAGGTGTACATCAAGATGGCTGCCTCAGCCAAGTGAGCTGTGAAAACACAAAAGTTGTTGAAATTTGGTAAATTTTGCAGATTTTTACCTAAAATACTGTAATGGTCACTCCTAACACTCTGCATGAGATGTCCAACCTAAACTTGTACAGCGGCGGGCAATAAGCATTCCTTGAAGGTCATTTTCACCAACTTTTTATAATAGGCCCACTTGCAGGGAGAAAAAAACCCCACACGCAGCAGTGTCGGGTTCGCAGCCAATTAGAGAGGGGTTCTGCCGTCCGAGTCGGAGCCGCGGAGAGTCCAGSCTCTGGCGGGGAGCACGAGCCCCGCGCTGCCCCCCTCACACAGGGACAAGCCCAGCAGAGAGCAGAGCTCCTCTCCGCTGTGAGGGAGTGATTAATTAGGCTACATCGCAGTGGGGGGAAGAAGCGTGTCCAATAAATGAGGAGCTCCTGAGACTTTTACGCACACAGGTGAGGGGTTGGATGCTGCTGCGCGCGCCCGAGGACGCGCACTGAGGAGGACCTTCTCTGTCTTCATGACGCTTTTCAAGACCGCGTCTTGGACAAAGATAAGAGGTAAACTTTATTATGAAGTTTATATGTTGGCAACTTGTCTGCCAGGGATTATATGACAAACAGAACTGGTYAGAGATTATATATTTTATAGACTAGAAAAAACACTCCCTATTTAACTTAAAATGTGTAGCCTAATAATGACCAGGTAAATCATATAAGTTATTAATTTTAATTCAATCTCCAGGTCTGTAGGCGCACTCTTGGAAGTCAGACGCTCCTGATGGACGGCGGTAATTGTTCCGGGACCGCGGCGGATGACAGCCCCGCTTCCAGTCCGAGCTCCAGCCCCAGTCCGGACGGTCGGCGCCGGGAGCTCCACCGGGCCGGCGGCAGCTGCAGCAGCGGCCTCAGCGGCAGAGGCCGTCCGGCGGCGGCGAACGCGGCGCGCGAGAGAAGCCGGGTGCAGACTCTGAGGACCGCCTTCCTGGAGCTCCAAAAGACTTTACCGTCGGTGCCGCCGGACACCAAGCTGTCCAAACTGGACGTGTTGATTCTGGCCACCACGTACATCGCTCATCTAACCCGAACCCTCCAGGAGGAAGGCGCGGAGGAGGGAGAGAGCAAACAAACGGAGGCGTTGCACTCCCTGAAAGGTGACGGCTACCTGCACCCAGTAAAGGTCAGTCACAACCATGACGTCACAGAAATTAGGTTTTTACCTGTGCAGCAGTTTGGGCCAATTAAATACAGAAATGAGTAAATTAACGCTCTAAAAAAACTATTTTAGTGATGCAACTTTAAAATCGCCGGACCTGCAGGTGAATTCGTTAACAAATCAAATTGTTTCTCCACAGAAATGGCCCATGCGATCCAGACTGTACGTGGGAGCGACTGGGCAGTTCCTGAGCAATCCTTCAGAATCAGAGAACCAAGGCCCATCATCCTCTACCTCCCAGTAATCTTTTATAGATACGGGAGAATTATCTATATTATCTGACTGTATATTTCCACTGAAGCCCAACAATTTGAAAACGATGTAAATTAATTTATTATTGTTATTGTATAAAAAAATGCATGTTTTAGGTTTCTGTGTTGTTGTTTTGGCTCGTTCTGTGTGCATCCTGCAGCTCCACACATGTCCCAGGTATAATAATATTTGCAGAAAATCCGTGGAGCCCCGTCATGCATGAGCTGTGCACTTTGACTGGAGACATTTGCACTAAATGCATGTGTGAATAAGTTAACATCTGTCATGTGAAGTGGTCTGTCAGACAGGCCACAATGGAAGCTCCTCATCTCATGTTCCCTCCGGGTTTTTTTTTACATGCATGATTTGTAAATGTTTTTTTTTCTTTTTTTAAAATAAATTACTGAACAATACAAAATGTCTACAAATGTTTTAACAAAAAAGTATTTTCAAGAAAAACGTCACATCAAAAGCAATTATTTTCTTAGGCCTAATGGGAGTATTATTATTTACTTGCTGCTATTTTTATTTGGTATTTTGGGATAACATAATAAAAACTGTCTGCACACTAACAAAGTCAAAATCAACGGAGAATTCTGCTTAAAAATGCAGTATTGTAAAAAAARGAAATCATAGCATATAAGGAAGAAAAAAGCTTTATATAGAAAATAGGTTTATTTGTATTGATGTGCAAACTGTTTGAAAAAAACATTACATAAGAAGTGCAAATTAATGTTTTTTTTAAATAACTAAATATTCTTAACGATTCTGTGGGGGGA